GACCCTTCAGCCAATTAGCAATCCATCTGACTGTGTAGGCATCGATGCCACAGTCGCCTAGTTTTTTAACGAGGATGGGGTGAGAGACAGTGTCAAAGGCCTTGCTGAAGTCCAGAAAGACTACATCCACGGCGACACCTGCATCCAATGCTTTTGGGACCTGATCGTAAAAGGCAATCAGGTTGGTCTGACATGACCTGCCCCTAATGAAACTGTGCTGGTTGCCCCTTAGCATCACCCCTGATGCCGGCCCATCACAGATGTGCTCCTTGATGATCTTCTCAAAGAGTTTCCCCAGGATTGAGGTAAGACTGACGGGCGTATAGTTGCCCGGGTCCTCCCTCCTCCCTTTCTTAAAGATGGGGACCACATTGGCTATCTTCCAATCATCTGGCACCTCGCCCGAGCACCACGAGCGCTCGTAAAGCCGTGCCAAGGGCCCTGCAATAACCATGATGACTCAGTTCCGTCAGTCAATACCCTTTGGGTCCTACCACAGACCCAGTTACCTAGCCACCAGACCATACAGTAGTCAAGGCCGCATTTTCCCAATTTAACCATGAGGACATCGTGGGAGACCAGATCAAAGTCCTTTTTGAAATCCTTTTTGAAATATGACATCATCCTCACTTCCCCTATCCAGGTGGCAAGTTACCTGATTGTAGAAGGAAATTATGTTGGTCTGGCATGACCTGCCTGTAACAAAGCCAGGTTGGCATATCCTTCAGAATACTGCCTCCAGTTAGCCTGTCTGTGATGGATTCTTTGATAATTTTCTCCAGGATTTTCTCCAGGATTTTACCAGGGATTGAGGTCAAACTGAAAGGTTTGTAATTTTCCAGGTCCTCCTTTCTCCCTTTCTTAAAGTTAGGCACCACATTGGCTTTCTTCCAGTCTTCTGGCACCTCTCCTGAGCTCCATAAGTCTTAAAATAACTTTGCCATAGGTCATGCGATGATGTTGGCTAGTTCTTTTAGCATTCTCAGGTGTAGTCTTCTATTTACTTCTTCTATGCATCTATCCCTCCTGTACCCATGACCCACAACCAGGAGAACTGAGGACCAGTGTCTGGGGCAATGAGGTTGGTAAAGGTTCTTATCCTCAGACCAACTCCCCAGAACCCCACCATCAGTGGTGACAGACAATTCTAAGCAGGGCATTAACAGGAGCCAATGAAAACTGCTACTGTTGCATTGCAGAAAATATGTTAGCAGAGCAGTGCTCCTAAGACTTTGCACGAAAGCAGTGGCCTTGAGGAACCACTGCTACCCCTATACCCCCACTGAAAGATATCTTTTGCTCGTGCTGTGTATGAATTTCCAAGCCCCACTCCCCAAAACCACTTATTTACTTGGCGGTCTTACAGGAAACCCAACAAACGTGTTCCATGCTCCTGCAGAATCATTGAGTGGCCACCCGCTTTATGAATATTGGGTCATTTCTTTCCCCAACATGCATGCTAGTGAACACTGAGGATCCAAGGAGTGCAAAGATTACTATGAAGATGACTATTAGGTGTAGGGTGGCACGACAGTACCGCCCTGGCCCCTTGTTCCCACCACCACATAACAGCATAGCACAATGGTCACAGTGGATATACAGTGGTGGGGAGGGGGAGAGGGGCATCTGGAGGCCTCCTGGATGCTGTGTCTGACCAGTTGACTTACCAGTCTCACTGTGCACCAGCGTGTACGGCCAAGCCGTGATCTGAGGAAAAGCAGGGGACGGCAATTGTTGCTGAGCATCCTATCTGTGAAACGTTGCAAAGTTTCACAGAGGGTTCATGTCTCTTGGCTCTCCAGAGCCAACATCTGTATACAGAGGAGAGTCCAGCTCTGGGTATAAAATACCTCAAGGTCACATGCTAAATATATAAATTATGTTTAAATGAAAATCTAAGTCTCTATATGCCTGACTTCAGCTTCCACGAATGTTCTGCCCAAAGGGTGCCACTTGCCAAGCCTTTATGGGCAGGCACTTTCCTTTTCAATGAGGGATATTACCCAGCCACTTCACATTTCAAAGAGGGTAATTATCACATACTCAGGTCAAGTTCTCTGGCTTTGTTCGCCTGCTGCAGCAATGGGAGCAGTTGACAGAGGGATTTGTTAAAAATTTACCACCATTCTTTGCCCTCCCTCCACCCCTGCCATTCCCACACACCACCTACTTGTGTGGAATTAAGCCTCATTTCTCTCATTATCACTCTGTGTCTGAGGCAAGCCAGGAAATGTTTGGCTTTGCTTACATCACCCAATACCCAGAGCCAGGCATTATCAACCATTCCCAATAGGATGGGAAATACATTTTTATTGCACCAGGAACTTACTAAAATGACAAAAAAAATGCAGGATGCCCATTGCCCAGGTCTCTTGTTTACAAAGAAGTAGCACCTAACAAATAGGAGCCCCTCTCCTGTCAATTGGTTTTCTTTCCCAACCATGCACCCCTTGTCTGACCTGCCCCTTGCTCCCTGAACCATAATCTTGCTCACCCGGCCCTGGTGGCATTGGGGTGCCCCTTGTTTAACAGCAATGCAGGTGGGGGAATAGGCTTAGCAGTAATACTTCTGGCTACCTCCTGGACAGAGGCAAGCCAAGTGGAGCTCATTTGTATTTTCAAGGGTTGGGAGGGGACCTGCTTGTTCATTTGCTTAAGGACATTATCCTTAATCAATGCACATGTCTCCTGGACATCCACATGGCACTGCGTGGCCAGCTCAAGCAACTGGCTTATGCAGCCTAGGAGCTGCATCCTGAATTCAATAGTGTTGGCCCTGCTTTGCATCTCCCAGTCATCATCTTCCCTGAGCACCCTCCCAGACTTCATCCCACCGATCAGAATGGCAGTCACTCAGGATTGTGTGGCCTCCACCAAAGTCATGCTCTCTCTGGAGTGTCACCGCCTGTGGCGGTATTCCTGCATTTTCTCTGTTCCCAAGCTGGAGTCCTAGGTTTGGACGCACATCCCTGGCTTCCATCGGGTGTGGTAGCTGGTAACAGGGATAGGAAAACAAAGTGTTCATGGTCAAATATCTCTTCCCCAAATGTTAAAAGGAATGTTAACCATCTCCAATGCTACATGCAGAAATGCCCCAGCACATCCAACCCAATGACACCAAAACAGTGCCTGGCATAGTGGCACAAATTCCCATTCCCTGATACTTACAAGTCCCTGGCTGTGCATCTTCTTGCGTCTCAAAAACCAAAACCAATCTTTGGGTCTCAGGAACTTCTGATGCATTAACCAGTGCGTTAACTGATGGTCTGATGCACCAAGAAGGTGGTCTGATGCATTAATCGGTGAAGGTGTCAGGGAGACTGGGTTCAGGATCAAGGTCACTTCTTCTTGGCCATCCCTGTCATCCAGCATCAGCGAGCAGCATGGCTCCAACATGCTTACTGTTTCAGTCTCAGGACACTCTGTGGTTCCTTCATTAGGTGTGCTGTCCAGGACAACACCACTCCCAAATACCTGGAGACAAGAAGCCTTGTCCATATCCTTAGAGAGAATGATGGACAGCTGGTCGTAGAATGGACCAATTGTGTGTACTGCCCCAGAATGAGAGTTCTCATCCTTGACACATTTCAGGGCCTTGATCTTGCTCTGGCACTGTGTCCAGTCCCGGGTGCGCCTGCGTGCCTTCATTTCCTTGGCAATTGTGATATATACTAGCTTATTCCTTCTACTTTCCAGCTGCTCAATGATCTTTTCCTCCAACCAAATATTGATCCAGTCCTTAAGTTTTTCCTGGGTCCAGTTGGGGCCACATTTTATAGATGTATTAGGCTCCTGCTCCATCACCTGCTCCATTGCCTGCATATTGGACTTGTTCTTCAGAGACATCAAGGAGCTTTTTGTGCTCAAAAAGTAGTCAAGACTGAGGTACCTTGACAAGTCACAAAATGGTTTCTGGCAAACTTTGGGGGCTGTTATATAGACATGTGTTGAACAAACGTTTTTGAAAATTCTACGTACACATACCTATGAAGATGTGAACTGTCTCTCAGTACCGGCTGTCAGGGCAATCTGAGCAAGTAACATTTCTGAACAAAGCAACGGTAATAGGCATAACCTGGCCCAAATTGACCCCCATTGTCCATAAGGATACATCAAAAATGTTCTGCTGCTGATAACACCCAAGCATCTGTGGCTGGTAGCTCTTCCTTCAGGCAAAAATTCCCCTACCCTTGCTGTGCCACTTATCAAGCACTTAACTGTGTTGGGGTTTTATCTCATCTGAAGGGATAATTCTGGGTTCATAGTACTCTGAGTCTTTGACTGCTGGAACCCCAACTTTTTTAGCAATGAATAATTGAATTATTTCTCGGAGATTGGGGGAACCCCAAAACTCAAAGTACTAAGTTACGGGAAGTAGCTGGGACACAGAGATTGCAATGCTGAGCAGTACAAACATAGCATGGGTATTAATGAAGCCCTATTCCAAAACAGGGTGGGGGTCAATTATGCACCATAGTAAGTGGGAAAGGACTTGATGGTTCTGGCCCCTCAATGCCTGGCATAGGTCTTGAGGTGTTAATGGGAACTATTGAGACATAATGATGTTGAGATCAGAGATCAGAGATCAGATGATCAGAGATCAGATGATCTCTGATCATCTGAACCCAGCACTCTTCCCTGCCTATGCAGGGGGTCGGACTCGATGATCTATTGAGGTCCCTTCCGACCCTAGCATCTATGAATCTATGAATCTATAATGTTCACACACCCATGTTTCAACCCTGGGTTATTGCAGGGCAGGGTGTGCCTATTCATTGATCCAGTAAATGGCAGTATCTTAACCCTAGGGTATATGAATGGGCTCCTGGGGTCATCCTAAGCCCCACAAGTGGATGGGCGGTACATCACCTGCCCCCCAACCACCCTCCACACTACAGGGAAAAGGCTTTTCTGTGTCAATGCCCAGCGCATGGCGTCCTGAGCTGAGTAATCATTGAAATGCAAATAGCAGCTCAGTTTTAATGCTAATAGATTGTATTCAGCAACCATATCTATTTGGATGACCCCCCCTAGTGAACCTTGGTGCTGTGTGCTAAACAGTGACCCTGCTGCATGCTGTCAAATATGGCTTCATGGAATCCAGACTAAATAAATGAAGAAGACCAAATGGAGATTCCAGATGAAATGTGTGAGGAGGATGACATGGAGAATCCTGGTGAAATGCATGAGGAGGACAAAATTGAGAATCCAGACAAAATGCACAAGGAGGTCAAAATGGAGTTGAGTCTCCTGCTGATGGTCTTGGACGGTTTTGGATTTACTGGATAGCATAGAAGTGTAGCTACAGATTGCAATGTATGTTATGACGATCTTTGTACAAAGTTGCAATGACATGCCAGCATGTAAACATGGCTTGCAAAAAAAGGCAGTAAAATGTGCCATGGATTGGGAGAACCAAGAGACAGGCACAAAACTGGTGGCTGACAGGGCTCTGTGGATCAACCTAAGGAGCAGCGACCACAGGGTCTGAGCCCACGCAAGCAGCTCTGACTGGTGGAGTGAATCATACTATCAACTTGGAATGATCAACAGTGGCCTGAGGCATTCTGAATGACTAGGGAGACATTTAATCACAGAGTCTCAATGCTGGGGATGCAAACAGCGAGGCAGGAGACTGCCATGCATCAATCCATTGCTCCAGAAAAGAGCGTGACCATGGCCATCATAAAACTGGCCACCCACACTGGTCTCTACTACATTGCAAACCAGTTTGGGATGGCTTTTTGCACAGCCAGGCTGGCAACTCATGAGGTATAGATTCATAGATTCATAGACACTAGTTCTGGAAAGGACCTCAGAAGATCATTGAGTTCAGCCCCCTGCCCCAGGGGCAGAAAGTCAGCAGGGGTCATAGGATCCCAGCAAGATAAACATCCAAACGTCTCTTAAAGGCGTTCAAAGTAGGTGCTTGAACCACCTCTGGCGGTGGTCTATTCCAAACCTTGGGGGCTCGGACAGTAAAGAAGGTCTTCCTTATGTCCAGCCTGAAACACTCATGGAGGAGTTTGTGACCTTTCAACCTTGTCATCCCTTGGGGCACTCTGGTGAAAAGACGTTCCCCTAGATCCTGGTAAGCACACCTGACAAACTTATAGGCGGCCACCAGATCATCCCTGAGCCTGCGTTTTTCCAGGCTGAAGAGTCTCACGGCTCTCAGCCTCTCATCATAAGGTCTGTTTTCCTGATCTCTGATCATGCGCGTGGCACTCCTCTGCACTGTCTCAAGCTTCTCCACATCCTTTTTGAATTGTGGAGCCCAAAACTGGACACAGTACTCCAGTTGTGGCCTCACCAAGGCTGACTACAATGGGAGAATGACACCCTGGGATTTGTTTGAGAAGCATCTATGGATGCAAGCCAGCGTTTTGCTCACTTTACTAGCCACAGCATCACATTGAAGGCTTATGTTCATCTTGTGGTCAATCATGACCCCCAAGTCCCTTTCGTCTGTTGTGCTAACCAGCGTAGCACTGCCGAGCCTATAAGCATGCTGCAGGTTTTTCCTTCCAAAGTGGAGAACCTTGCATTTTTTTTGGTGTTAAACACCATCAGGTTCTCATCCACCCATTTCCTGAGCCTGTCAAGGTCTGCCTGGATCACCCTTCTGTCCTCAGGTGTGGATGGTTTACCCCAGAGTTTGGTGTCATCGGCAGACTTGGCCAATTTGCTTCTGATACCAGTGTCTACATCATTAATGAAGATGTTAAATAGTATAGGCCCTAGAACAGAGCCTTGCAGGACCCCACTGGTCACAGCGCACCACAAGGATTGACTTCCATCAACCACCACCCTCCGGGTCCTACCGTGGATGCCAGTTGCTACAGGACATCATGATGAACAACTTTATTTGCCTCAATAACCCCCAAGAATTATTGATGCCATGTGGTTCCCTAACTGCGTGGGAGCTTTAGACAGCACACACATAACTATGCTATCTCCCTCACAGGTGAGCTGGTCATTCACGAACTGGAAGGGATTTTCCTCAGTTATCCTGCAAGCTGTGGTGGATCACTGGGGCTGGTTCACTAACATTTATACAGACTGGGCAGGCAGTGCACATGATATGCATGTGTTTAGAAACTTGTCGCTTCCTGGTTTGATGGACAAAGAACACTATCTGCCAAGAGTCCCCAACAGAGTGATTTATGGTATTGCTGTCCCCCTGCTTATCATAGCAGACATGGATTACCCCATGAATCCCTGGCTTATGAAAACACATGGAAGACACATAACTGACCCACAAAAGATGGTTTTCAACTACCATCTGAGCAAATGCAGGATGGATGTTGAATGCACCTTTGGCCACCTCAAAGCACGGTTGAGGTCACTGAACTCTTGCTCGAGTTGGAGCTAGAAAATATAGTGACTTTTATAGTGGCAGCTTGCATGCTTCACAATATTTGTGCAATAAGGGGGGAGGTTCTTAGCGAGTCATGGGCTGACAAAGTGAGGGAGGCAGTGGGCAGACAGAGATGTGGACTGGCAGTGCACAGCATCCCACAACATCAGCATGGAAATGCTGGTTGGGTGGCCATTGTGTGGAATTGCCTGGCCGCACATATTACAGACACTGACAATGGACTCGGTTCTTTCTAGGCTGATGGATATGTTCCCAATAACTACCACTGAATGGCTCTTCCAATAATAATAACATTTTCGTTGCAACACTGTAATAGTAAGGGTTTTGCTAAATGCTAATAGCAAGAGTTTTGTATGCTGACTCCATAGTAGACTGGTGAAACAGCACGTAGCTTCTTGCTCTGTGAGCGTGACCAAACCATGAACCTAGATAGTAGAATGTTGTAATACAGTGGAATGTAGTAAACACCAGGTGTATTGGATCACGACTCATCCCCAAATTCTTAGCTTGAGATAACCAAATCCCTAGTTCGAGATAACGTTATTTACTCCAGACTATATAAGCTGTACATTCTTAAGTTACAGGGGGTTCCTCCACTCTGGCAAGAGTTCTGACTTGCGCGGTGCCCCGGCGCAGGCTATCACATCCCCGGAATTGGGACACTCCAGGGCCAGGGGAATTATGCAGGATGGCAACTGCCACCTAGAGCTGATGTGAAGTGACCATCCTCTCTGCTCTGTCCTATTGCCTGCCTCTGCAAGTATCCTTAAATAAAGCTTTGCAAGGGTGAGAACAACCGTGAGTATGTCCTTTGTTCAAGTGCGAGGAATCTTCTGAACCCAGTAGTTCATTCTAAGACAAACACAAAATTTATGGCTCTTAAGTACAATGTCTGTAGTGGTGGGAAGGAGGTTGCAGCCATGGCAGGTCGTGGAAGGGGTGAAGGGGCAGGTGGGGTTCTCCCTGCAGGCAGCTGCAGCTTCCCGTGATTACCTGAATGATGAATACCCGTCCGTCACTGGGGAATGCAGCAGGGCATGGGGGGAGGAGTGGGAGTAGCTGCCCTGGTGGGGGAAGGGAGTTGTTGTATGCAGTCTTCCAGCCACAACACTGGAGAAAGACCAGTTCGGGCGGGGGGGACCCACACACGACTCACTGCCCAACAGCTGACATGGGTCCACACCCCTAGCTAGCCTCGACTCCCTGGATGGGCCATGTTCTGTGAAGGGTTAATGAAACCTCTCCTTGGCACAGCCAGGAAGGGTGC